TCAAGCAGCCACGAAGTACACAGAACATACAAGCAACTGGTGATAGACTCATTTTAGTCACTTCACATATCATTTCCTTTGCTTTTAACGTGCACGCCAACGCTCCCACACAGAGCCACCGTGAGTCACTCCTATGCCGCGGTCTCACTTCCTCAGCCCAGAACGCCCGTGTCCCCGCCGTCGGGCAGCCTCCTGCCGGGCGACCCCATGCCCCTGTCCTTCTGTATCCGTCCAGCCTCCTACTCAGGCCATGGGTCATTTGATGCCGCTGGAGACCAGGTCTGCTGCCTGCGAGTTTTACACCTAGCGCCGAAATTGGAGGACTGCCTAACGAACAGCATTTTCAACGGCTCTTCAGCAACTGGTGTTTCACAAATAGTTCTTTCAAAGAGCCTCGTTTCATCTGAGCAAGCATTTGCTGACTCACTCGGGGAGCACACAGCTTCCAGGAAGTTGGGTTGGCAATACATGCTGGCTAAAAAGACCAAGGCAATTGTTTTTCCATTATTCCATTACCAGCTGGCAGAGAGGATAAATACCAAAATAGGAATTTCTCCTTCGACATGAAGTCACGTCGACCACAGTGAGACACGCTGGTCCTGTTACGGGCTGTCCATCTCAAGGGATTTCCAAAGCCTTGGTTCGAGCTCGCGGATATCGGCCACGAGTCTTCAGCTCCCGCTACCTAGAGAGCAGTTCCACGCCAGAACCCAAAGTGCACTCAGTGGTGAAGAAATCAGCTCCAGGGGCGCCTGGGTGGCTTTAGTCAGTCGAGCGTCCAATGTCGGCTCAGGTCATGATCTCCCAATTTGTGAGTTCAAGCCCTGTGTTGGGCTCTGTGCTGACAGCTCGCAGCCTGGAGCCTGCTTTAGATTCTGTGTCTCCCTCTCTCTCTGCCCCTTCCCTGCTTGTATTCTGTATCTCTATCTCTCTCTCAAAAATAAACATTAAAAAAAAATCAGTTCCAGAAAAGAATTTGATCACTGAAGTTACAAAGGTAGATTCTACTTAGACTTTCAAAATCATTAAAGTCTTTCCTGAGGTCTGATTTTAATAAGAGAACCCATAAAGCGGGCAACCCATTCCAAGAGAAATATAAGGAATGGCTGTTATGATTCAAGCCTTTACTTCCATAGTTATTACAACATTATTGTGTTTCTGTTGTAACCTTATTAAAACAGAAAGGAAATGCTAGATATCTGAAATTTACTCATCAGCACTACAAAGCAAACTAAAATAAGAGGAAAAAAAATTTAGTTTAGCAGAGACCAGGATTTTTTATGTAGCTTTGTCCTGAGCCGGGTGTTTAGAGAAAGGATCAGACATCACAAATTCCTACCCAGAACTCCACCTTCAGGGGTCCTTAGTTAAAAAGTGTCCTCAGAAAGGGGCACCTGGGTGGCTCAGTTGGTTAAGCGTCCGACTTTGGCTCAGGTCATGATCTCATGGCTCATGAGTTCAAGCCCCACGTCAGGCTCTTTGATGACAGTTCAAGGCCTAGAGCCCGCTTTGGATTCTATGTCTCTGTCTCCTCTGCCCCACCCCTACACATGCTCTGTTTCTATCTCTCTCAAAAATAAACATTTAAAAATTATTTAAAAAGAAAGAAGTGGCCTCAGAAATACATCATTCAGGGGCGCCTGGGTGGCTTAGTCGGTTAAGCGTCCGACTTTCGCTTAGGTCATGATCTCGCGGTTCGTGGGTTCGAGCCCCGTGTCGGGCTCTGTGCTGACTGCCAGCTCAGAGCCTGGAGCCTGTTTCAGAGTCTGTGTCTCCCTCTCTCTCTGACCCTCCCCTGCTCACGCTGTCTCTCTCTCTCTCCTAGAAATAAATAAAAATATTTAAAAAAAATAAAAAAGAAATACATCATTCAATGGCATTTGGTTGATCCCAAGTTGACTTTTACTTATTGTTTATATATATATATTTTTTAAGTTTATTTTTATTTATTTTGAGAGCGAGCTAGAGAGCAAGCATGGGAGGGGCAGAGAGAGAGGGAGACAGAATCCCAAGTAGGCTCTGCTCCATCAGATCAGAATCCCAAGTGAGGCTCCAACTCACAGACATGAGATCATAACCTGAGCCAATGTCAAGAATAGGACACTTAACTGACTGAAGCTCCCAGATGCCCCAAACTTACCATTTATATTTTAAGACTTGGCATCAGGTTTGCAAAGGGGGTAAAGCCCTTCATGGGTGACTTTTGGAAGGTGGATCCATCTAGAAACTCTTTCTGAGACATTTTGTTGTTAGGTGACATAAACCCAGTTCTCAGAAAGTGTCAGAGAACAGTCTAGAAGTGGTTGGACCCCGAGTTGAAAATTATTGGTTAGGAAAAGCTTTTGAAACTCTCTGAAGATATTAAAGAAAAATAAGAAAAGGTGTGGTAGGATCTTTCCCTGAGAAAGACCATCCTGAACTAACATAGATTTGACTTAAACTATTTAAAAGAGCACTAAAGATATAACCAGAAGTTCGGTGTACCATCTTGGAAGTTCGAGAAAGCTGGAATTAACCTTAAGAGGAAGCTCAACCATGCTGTTGAAATGGTCTCTAGGAGAAGAGCTTGAGAGAAAAAGTGAGTTTGCAAAGCATCCTGTTTGCAGGACTGACCGTTGCCACGGCAATCCACAAAGTCAATGGTCCTTCAGATGCATCTCAGCACCAAGCCGAGGGATGATGGGATCGAACAACTCACGGCCCCTGCACCCACGGGCTCCTGAGGACACCCCGACCTCCCCTTCTACATCTGAGTGACCAGAAACACTGGGGGTGTGCTTGCTTGGGGCCAGGCTCGCTTCGCTTCTGAGCACCTTCGTCACACTGCTGAGTCCATTCCCATAAGAACCCTGTGAGAAGGTGCGGTTTTCTCCATCGTATGGGTGAGGAAACTGAGGCTGGGGAAGGAGCCGGCGGGCCAGAGCTTGCTTGTGTTCTCTTGCCCTTGCAGAGCTGCCCTTCTTGTCTGCTCTGTTGAAATGAACCTTGGGGCGCCTGGGTGGCTTAGTCGGTTAAGCGTCCGACTTTCACTTAGGTCATGATCTCGCGGTTCGTGGGTTCGAGCCCCGCGTCGGGCTCTGTGCTGACTGCCAGCTCAGAGCCTGGAGCCTGTTTCAGTCTGTGACTCCCTCTCTCTCTGACCCTCCCCTGCTCATGCTGTCTCTCTCTCTCTCTCCTAGAAATAAATAAAACATTAAAAAAAAAAAAAGAAATGAACCCGGGCCCTCTGTCTTCCCTCTGCTTGCGGGCACAAGGCCAAGCTTTGTCGGTAAAGGAGACGGAGGCTCCGCAGGGGAGAAGGGTGCTGCTCTAGGCCTGGGACCGTTTGCTCAGCAGCTCCTGTGGGCTGGGCTGCGGCTGCTGCCCTAGGACCCCTCGGCGGCACTGCAGCAGAGGAACATGGCTCCCCACGCGTCGTAGAGATCTGGCTTCCGGCAAGTTCCAGAGGGAGGATTTTCAACAAGATCCGTCAGCAGGGCACCACACGAACGCCTGTCACCTGCAGAGCCACGATCAAGCCTCTGCATCCTACCTGCTCCAGGGTCACTGCTGTCCCACCCGCACCCCTTCACGTTCCCTCCACGTCTCACTCGCAGATCCCTCGTTACTGCAGTCCCGTCGTGGTAAATAATTACAGACATTATGCTTCCCCGCCCAAGTCCAAGTTACTGTGTGGCTTCTCTCTCCCGACTGGATCCAGACCGACGCCCTTGCCTGAGGGCCCAGACCCAGAGCAGTGCGGCCAAGACCTGAATTGGGCGTCTCCCGACCCTGTTCCGTCGTCTCCGCCAGCAGGTTCTGGTCCAATGTTGCTGTTTCGTCGCCTCCACAGGCAGGTTCTGGTCCGATGTCACCATTCCGTCGTCTGCGCCGGCGGGTTCTGGTCCAATGTGCCCAAAGGACAAAGCACCAGTTCGGCCCGGAGGGCAGGGCAGAGGGGAAGGTGTGAGGAGGGATGTGGAGTCTTTAAGCAGTTTTCCGGCAGACACAGAAATGAAAGGCGTTCTAGAAGGAGGGACGGTGTGTGCAGTGCTGGGAGGAAGGATGGGGCGTGGCGTCTCCCAGGCCTGCTCTCCCCGGACGCCCTTCCTCCCCGGGGCATCAGGGAGCACGGGGCTCCGGACCTGGGTGCTGTGGCCCTAAGAGGGGGTCAGAGGCCATTTCTCACTGACTGTCATCCATAGCGGCTGCTCGGTTCATAACATGGAATACGTAACAGAGCGACACTCCAATTTTTGTAATAACTGCATTTATTTCCACTTTTGATAAAAACTAGTTAGTACTTAGCTCCCCAAACACACATTTGTAAATACTGAACAACGTCAGTGTTGGAAGGCCACAGGGCAGAGCCAGAGCCATCACCCCAGTTTTAGCGACATGGCTGCCCCTTGTTTCGGGAGGAGGGGACTTCACGGGAAATGCTGACATCATCTGTGATGTTTTCCCACCAATTCTGCTCTCGTGGCTTCTGTGGACATCGAGTCTTTTCCTAGAGCAGCACTCAGAGTGGGGCGGGGTAGTGAGGGTGCTTTGGCCACCCCAGGCCACAGAGAAACAGGATCCACGTCCCCCGGCCTCTGGCAAAGCACCCCTTTCCTTCCAAGGTCAGCTTCTAGCATTCTGCAGCCCACACAGCCACGGCATTTTTAAGCGTACTGGGTGCTGACCTGGAGTTTGCAGAACTGCAAAAGTTGGGATTGATACTTAAAAAGTGATAGATTTGGGTCCCAAAAATTTGCTGGGGGAAAATAAACACAAAAACCCAAACCCTGGGGTCTAAGCCCCTGTGAACGTATAAGGCCTTTCTGCCTCGGTGGAAATGGCGGGTATGAAAATCAGAAGCTAAAGGTAAACTCCAAAGTGGAAAAATGAAGGGACTGTGCCTGGAGGCTTGTATTGCACTGGGCACCCCTCAGCAGTCTGGTGACCCGTTTCTTCAAGGGTTACTGTATATGTGTGGTTTGGGTAATCAATTCAGGAAGCTAGGTTTTCCTTTCTGGAAAAAAAAAAAAAAGCAAAAATAAAATAAGTGTTTCGTATCACGAAGATGATGCTACATTTAATGGTTGACCCAGCGTTTGAAGCCATCCCGGGTCCAGGTAGGGGGTTGGCAGGCGGCCTGTGTGTTTAGACTGCGTTCCTTTGAAGGAGCTGGTCCAGTAATTGCTAGGGAAGCAGGAGACAAACATGTCAAGTTCAGGTTCAGCATCTGCACCACACACGCGTCACACCTGCTGGCGGCCAGGCCATTACCTTTTTGAAGACTTCAGCACGGAGCCTGTTGCTCTGTAAGATCACTCTTTTCTTTTGTTCTTCTTTTTTCCTTTTAACTTCCGGCAAGTTATTATAGATTCTGAAACAGATTCAGAAAACACGTGGAATGGCAGCAAAACAGTGTGCGCCCGCGGTGGGTCTGTGTCCTGTCTGGTCGGCAGACTCTCCCACTGCAAGGAGGGGGCCAGGGGTGGAGGGGCCATCCTGGGGCTGGGAGGCGCCTGACCCAGGGCTGCCCTGACCATCTCCGTCTCCAGAACGGGCTGCGGAGGCTGGGACAGGACCAGCCGCGGGGCCCCCCGGGGGCCAAGCTGAGAGGCCAGCTGTGGGAGTGGCAGTGCCTTCTTCACCCACCCCCACTGTCTAAGACATGCTTGTATAACGTGGGAGAGTCCAAACCTACCACTTTGCCACTCCGTGTAAACTTGCCCTGGATATGATTTTGCTACACTTTTTTTTTTTTTTAACCTTCCTGTGACTTAGAAAAGGAGCAGCACATACATGGGAGTGGCAGGAATTATACTGGAATGACACGCACATAAATGTGTATTTACCTCTTAGCCTAATGCCTTCCTAATTAAACTGCTTCCAAATACGTCTCGGACATACGTATTATGCTCTTGTCCTGGTGTAAAGTTAGGTGTTTCCAAGTGACAAGTGGGGCCCAAGAGACCTTCTTCTGGATCCTTCTTTCCCAGCCCCTAACGGGAGCTGTTTGCGCATCGATGCCGAACAGTATTTCTGCGAGGATCCAGAGACGCGGCAGAGGGACTGGGCTTTTGGGGTGCTGGATGCATAGCATGTGGAAAAACACCTTTTTTTTCAAGTTCTTTCACGTTTGAAAGCCAGACAAAATTTAATAGGTTCCACTGTTAAAATAATAGTCGACGAAGTATAAAAATATTAATGATGACAAAATTAGAAGGCGACACGATCTTGGTTATCGTGCACCAGGCTAATCACCTGACGTGAATGTTCTCAATCCTCATGACATTGGACAGGCACGTAGCATCCTGCTTCCAGAGGAATGAGGAACGCCAGCCCCAGCGAGGTGGGGAGACACGTGTCAAGTGGGCTGGGCTTCGAACCTTGGTCTGTCCATCTCTACACAGCACTGCCCCCAGACCATGGAGCATAAAGGGTCTGGGAAATGCTTATGCTGTTGACGTAGTTTGAATGAATAAATGAACGTATTGTTTGCATAGCCAGGGACTATTCTGGAAAGGGCCAGGGAGAGGACTGTCCCAAATTTCCACAGTGGAAATCTATTCAGATGCACAGAGAGCATCTTCCTGACCATCTGAATCATGTGGGCAATTTAAGACAAAAATTCCTAGGTCTCACTCCTAGAGCTTTGGCAGTATTTTGTTAAAAGGACTTCCTAAAGGGGCACCTAGGGGGCTCAGTTGGTTAAGTGTCCGACTTCGGCTCAGGTCATGATCTCACAGTTCGTGGGTTTGAGCCCCGTGTTGGGTTCTGTGCTGACAGCTCAGAGCCTGGAGCCTGCTTCAGATTCTGTGTCTCCCTCTCTCTCTGAGCCCTCCCCTGCTCGTGCTACCTCTCTCTCTCTCTCTCTCTAAAATAAATAAAACATTAAAAAAATTTTTTTAAAAAAGAACTTCCTAAATAACTTATGGTATATCCATACAATGCACCACATGGCAGATATTTAAGCAAATGAGGAAAATCATCTGTATTTGCATCTTTTGACACAGAATGACTTCACAGACATATTATAAAGTGAAAAAAGGCTATAATAATATATATATTATTTTTCCATATATGTAGTGTGATGCCATTTGTGGTTAAAAATTGGATAGCTGTGGATGTACAAATTAAAGTCTATTTTTAGGCAGAGAAAGGCCGGGAAGGATACGTAGATGGCTGATAACTGTGGGTCTCTGGAGAAAGGCCTGGGCGTAGGGAAGTGATGTGGGAGAGAAGACCGTTGGTCATAGGGGACTGTAGCCTTATCTCCACTGTTTGACTTTTTAAGATGAAAATGTAATTGAACAATAAAACTAATAACAAAGAATACAAAAGAAAAGAAAGCTCCAGTGTGACCGTGGGTGGGTGAGGTCTGAGAGCCAGGGCCAGATCCCACTCAGGGCACAGAGTGTAAACCCAAGCACTGACTCCTTCCAGGGGAAGAAGCTTCACCTGGCTTGTGTGTCCTCTCTGAACCTCGGTTTCCTTTTCAGGAGAACCTGAACAATCCTGTCCTCCATGGATGCTGCTTTGAGATCTATTATTATTATTATTTTTTAATATTTTTATTTATTTCTAGGAGACAGAGAGAGAGAGAGAGAGAGACAGCGCGAGCAGGGGAGGGTCAGAGAGAGAGGGAGACACAGACTCTGAAATAGGCTCCAGGCTCTGAGCTGGCAGTCAGCACAGAGCCCGACGCGGGGCTCAAACCCGCAAACCTCAAGATCATGACCTAAGCAAAAGTCAGACGCTTAACCGACTAAGCCACCCAGGTGCCCCTGAGATCTATTATTTTAACTGCAAGGCCCCATAACAATGGTTATGGGTTTGGAGACAGGGAGGGAAAGAGTTGGCTGAATTTTTTCACTAAACTGAAAAAGGAATACTTTTGGCATGAGGTATACATAGCTCTACACTTCTAAAAATAACCCCCCAGCTAGAAGGTGGTGAATCAGGTCGCTGATGGGATGGACCCCTTCTCCTTGCTCGTGCTTTTTCACTTACAAAGGGGTTCCCTGCAGATGACCAACGTGACCTAATTATCACAGAAGGAATACAATCATGGTGAAAGCAGAAATCTTGCACCTGGGCTGCGGCGCAACGCACCCTTCCGATTTCAGCGGTTTCTCTAAGCACACTATCAGTTTGGTTTAATTACTATAGTTCCTCCTAGTGCGAGATACTTCATTATAAACAAATGATACTTCACTTGCATGAACTTGGCCATCATTGCTGGGTTATTACATTTTGGTGATGAGGCCAGGGCTCAGGAAGAACGGCCCCCTTTGTGGGCGTCAGGTTGGTGAGAATTGGTAGAGGCCTAGAGTAGCAACTGGCCAGACAGAACAGGGAGAGTTTGCGGACAGCAAGGCCAGGAAGCCCACCGGGGATGGGAGACCGGGACACCACGCCAGCCACGGCCCTCTGTGGCTTTGCTGGCTCCCACACGCCAGTGGCCTCCAAGTCTGGACTCTTCCTCAGGCTCGCTCCTGTCAAAGCCTCAGGGCAAACCACCTCTCTCCTCCTCATAAGACTACCTTCAAAGGTGCACAGGGACCAGCAGCACCTGCCCGGAGAGGCGAGGAGAGTGTACAGAAGCGTTCCCGTTACGGGCCTGGGGACCCCTGAGAGACCAATTACTGGATTGGTTCCGATTCCGAGACCCACCGCTTCCCTAAGGCTTTTCCAAGAACGGCATTAACATTCAGAAACGCAACTGGACAAATGCACTTCTTGTAGCCAGCTTTTCAAATTCATGGCCACGAAGACCTCAGCCCTTAAAGGTAGACCTAGAATTAGTGGCCCCTCTGGGCAGCGCGTGGCGACCCCTCCGCCATCTCCCCCCACCTTTTTTGACCTCACGCAATCACCAAGTACCTTTTAGATCGCATGTGCATCTCCTTCTCTGAAATGTACCTTTCTTTGGGTTTGAACAAGTTATCTGGAAAGAAACGGAAAGAGGGTTAATTTCAGAGGGTGTGGCTATTGCATGTTTCTAGAGAAACATTATGGGAAACCCAGCTCACACTTTGCTATCGATCCTCAGTCTAAGCCCCGTCCTGTTACAAATACTGCAGCGCTCAGTGGGTGCTCATATACCATAAACAGTTACACTGAAACTGAGCCAGCAGGTTGGTCCTGATGACAGTTAAACACAGACGTGAAGTACAAGGTCAGCGTCTCACATACTTTGTGGACAGTGACTCCTTTGCCGGCTTCATCTAGCGACATTCATAGTGTGCAGGGGATGGTGCCAAGGTGGCCCTAAAACGTGTGTCAGGGTCATCCTGGGTATGGGGCCCTGGGTGTCCGGTCATATCACCCACAAAAGCTCTCCACACCAGGGTTTTGGTACCTCTGAGGATAAGGGGGTCTCCCAGCTATCACAGAGCATTTTGAGAGCAGGGGTTGACACAAGTGGGGCCCTCCCTCAGGGACATTCAGCCTCTGCATCCATTCCAATGGAGGAACACCCCTTTTCAGAGTCAGAAAGACAATGGACGACAACATTGTAGGAGTGCCTGTCTAGTACCCTTTGAGAAAGTGCACAGTGACTCAAAATTACTATGAGTCTGGAATGTTTTTCAGTGTAAATACGTATTACTAATTACAATGATGTTTGTAGATTAAAAATGGTACATACTTATTTAAAAGTTTATTTATTTTAAGAAAGAGAGAGAGACAGACAGAGAGGGAGAGAGTGAGAGCACACAGGAGGGGCAGAGAGAGAGAGGGGAGAGAGGGAGAATCCCAAGCAGGCTCTGCACTGAACTCACGAACCATGAGATCATGACCTGAGCTGAAACCAAGTGTTGGATGCTTAACCGACAGAGCCACCAAGGTGCCCCAAAAGTAGTATGTATTCTTTGTAAAAATAGTGTATATATACCTTTGTGCAATAACTCACATTCCCGCGATGCTCTCAGCCCTATAGATTAGCCAAGAGTTCGTCACACAAAAATACTCTTGGGGTATGTGTTACATGGACTTACATCTGAGAAGTCTCCACACCTTCCAAAACACCTACATGGTGACCAGCTCACCTCCTCCACTGGGCATAAGCAGACATACAACTCAGCATCCTAGCTAAGCATCATGGAGTTGAAAGGGGCTCCCTGGCAAAGACCCCTTGTGTCTCTATTAATCTCCACATGGACCTATCCCCTCACTCAGCAGAGCCACGCGAGACTTCTCAGGCTTACAGATTTTTCCATGAATATACACAAAGCGGGAGGTGGTGAAGACAAGGAAACTAACAAACTTGTCCCCTCTGGAGAAAGAAAACACTGGTACTGATTTACAAACTGGAAACAACACAGTGGCTGAGCTTGCACTCTGGCTGGTTATTTAACATAAAAGAAAAAATGGCACCATTCCTTAACTTCAAAGGTCAGACTCAAGGAAGAAATGGGAGAGGAGTCAAAACAATCCGAAGAATGTTCCCAGCTAGGGGGAAATGCCCCCAGTGTTTGGAAAGGAATGAGAGAGAGGAGCAGCCAACTGTACCATGAAGATTGCCAAGGTGCCTCCCGGCGCCCACCCTTGGCTTTTGCTACAAGTAGGACCGGGGCAGAGGGGAGAGCCTTGGACACATCCCAACAACTTTCCCAAAGAAATGGGTGGCACCTTAAGGTGGGCACTGGTGTGACTGCTTGGAGACTCCCACTCAGGCAAGGACAAGGTGCCTCTACAAAAACTTAGACTCAAATCTGGATTAGCATCTCCTCAGGAGCTGCTCAAGAGTCAAGTGAGGCCGGGGCGCCTGAGTGGCTCAGTTGGTCAAGTGTCCACTTTCGGCTCAGGTCATGATCTCACTGTCTGTGAGTTCGAGCCCCGTGTTGGGATCTGTGCTGACAGCTCAGAGCCTGGAGCCTGCTTCGGATTCTGTGTCTCCCTCCCTCTCTCTCTCTCTCTCTGTCCCCCCCCCAATTATGCCTCTTCTCTCTCTCTCTCAAAAATAAATAAAAACATTAAAAAACTTAAAAAAAACAAAAGAGCGAGACCAACCCAGACAGATCGACAGATGGTATTCCAAGTGACTAAAAATACAAATTGTATTTGTAACTTTTTTTTATAATCTTAATCCAATCGTATGTGGTCTACTCTGGGAAATTAGATTTTTTTTTAAGTTTGTTTCTTTAGAACACCTGATACCACAATGGAGCTTTGGTTTTCTTTCCAAGAGGAAACAAAAGCAAATGTGAGCTCCTTGGTACCTCTGCTGTTTTGTTTTCTGAACCTTCATGGCCTGCTGTGCCTCGGCAGACCTTTAGATTCGGGGCCCAGCAGCCCAGTCGGGGACCAAACGAGCACGTCTGTATCCAAGAGGGTGCGCCCTGGCTGCTGGGCTCCACCCACACTTTGGGAAAGGGGCTGCTTTTTGGTGCTGACCTGAGTTTTCTTAACAGCACGGGACACATTTGATGAACAGTGAGACCTATCTTCTGGCGGGGAGGAGAGACAGGCAGCAGATCTACGCTCCCAGAAGAAGTTGTGTGAAATAAAACAAGGGTGCTACTAACGGCCCCCAACCTCACCGGAACGAACAGAACCCAGCCTGGCGCTGGGGAGCGGGACATCAGACCTGAGGGGTCCACACTATTATTTATAGCAACACCGCAAGTGTTTATTGGATGCTTGCTTCCGTGATCTCCCCGATCTTCACACCAACTCCGTGATGCGCATGATTATCTGTACTTTAGGGTTGGGGTAACCGGAGTTCAAAGAGCTGGGTGCCCGAAATCGGTCCAGCCCTGTCCACACAGGCTCTTAACCTCAGAACACTGCTGCTAATTCATCTTGCAGAATCCAGATTTTGGGGGGTCATGCTGAGTACCACTCCCCTCCCCATGAGACCCATCCAAACTTCGTTTCTCTTATACTCCCTTCCTCCTCTAGCTAATGTCACCAGGGGAGGCTCAGAGGAAACAAAAATATGTAGGACCCTGACACCATGAACTTGGGGGTGGGGGTCAGATAATTTACAAACTGGCTACAACGTTTCAGGCAAGTGCTGCTCTGATGGCCACATGGTAAAGGGGGGACCCAGGTGGTGGGAAGGGCCCCTCGAGGGAGCAGATATTTAAACCACAGCCCAAGTGGCCGCAAGACCAGCTGCGAGAAGCCCAGGCAGGAACCAGCGAGGGAGGGAGGGGGCGGAAGGCACGAGGCGACGTCAGGCCAGCAGCCGGGACAAGGTCAAAATCAGCGACGCTCTCCCCCCAGGTCACGCCACACAACCACCAGGGGCCTCGGACCACGATGCCCGCGCGTGGGCGCCGGAAACCTGAGCCCCAGTCTCCCGACGATGCTCACGCGCACACAAACTGGGAGCCACCCGTGCCGCGCTCTGCAGGCCGGTTAAGGAGCTTTTCCTTCACAGGGAGAGAGAGAGGGAAAGCCCCGTGGGGTTCACACGGGAGATCTGATCTGTGTGTTAGAAGGTGACCAGCGGCTGCTCTTGCACAAACTGGGTGGAGTGCAAACGGGCCGGAGGGAGGCAGACCAGGCACCTGGAGGGGAACCTGGCGTCGACAGAGCTCCTGGGGTTCGGAAGCGGGAGGACTCTGGCCTCAGGGACACCGCCCGTGGGCACAGTGAGGCGCGGCTGGGAGCCAGGAGTCAGGATGACTCCAGGCTGGACGGGCCGTTCCTTTGGTGTCTGTTAATGCTTTCACCTCTTCGGCGCTCTGCTGAGACACACAGGTAACGAAGCCCAGGGTGAGAGCCAGGTGAATGAGGCCTTGAGGGGCCAGAACCAAGGGTCTGCACGGGGTACAGGGCTCTGGGACACTTCACAGCAGCAGGCAGCGGAGCCGAATCTTGAAAAAGAGCTGTCCCCCACGGCGGGGAGGCACGCGGCAGCCCCGCTGGGACCCGCCTGCAGCGAGCGATGGTTTTTCCAGGACACGTGCCAGGGACCCGTCCAGGACCTCGTTTCGTGGAATGGAAGCCATCCTGCCTGAGCTTTGCTCAAAAATACAGCAAAAACGCATCTATCCATTCAATTAAAGTGATGGGTGGGGACAATTTTCAGCCTGCGTCTTCTTGGTCTTTTATGGACCTTCCTTGAAGCTTCGTTGTTCTAACTCATTGATTTAGAGGAAAGAGACCCATGGCTGTAGTTACCTCTCATTAACATTCAAATCGAGGAAGTTTGGGGTCTGTTTTCAGTTTTTGTTTTTGTTTTTGTTTTTGTTTTTCAATAAAATGACTCTGGTAAATTGTTCATTTCTGTATATCTGGAAAATCGTGTCCTTCCCCCCAACTCCCAATCTCTGTGTCGGGCTCATTACTGTATCTGAGCCATAGGGCCTGTTGATCATTTAATTTGCAAGCCCAGACATGCTTAAGCCCTTGCCTGTTTCAGAGTCAGCCAATAGCCAGCTGCCAAGATTTTCGTGTGTCTGAGGCCACTCTCGGAGAGCAGCTGGGTAAAGGCTGAGTCCCAGTACCTTGTCCCGATCTCTATAAATATCTGTAGGTGTCTGTTACAGCCCTCATCTCCTACATGTGTGAACACACACACACACACACACACACACACACACACACACGGGTGGCCTCCACATTGGGAGAGCTGATAGTATCAGCAGGAGGCAGCCAGGATCACCCAGACGCCAGCATGATTGGTTGTTTATGGGGCTGAGGTTCCCTTTCCTCCGAGCACGAGCCCCCATCTACTGCTCTGATTGCAAAGCTTCCTTTTCCCTATTGAACAAGTAATTTAAATGATAATCAAGTCCACGCCGGATTTATTACTGCAATGCCCTCCCAGGAGCTCATTTCTGCAGTCACCCTGAGCACTTTCAAGAATCCTTCAGGCACTTGCTTCCTGTATCATAGAAACACCAAAACCAAGGGATGCCTGTTGGAGAGAATCCAGCAGGGAGCCAACAAACTACTTTGGAGTGTAGACACCAAGCCTATACCTTCAATTAA